CTCGAAGAGGAGTGCAACACTTTGTACAATTTTCGGGACGTAATGAAAAATCTCATCACTCCATGCGAGCTCACCCGATATCAGTGGTGAGCTATCTCCGTAAAATTACAACTGTGACTCTAATTTACCCACAGGTGTCTAAAGTGAAACTGTTTTACAATGACAGAGAAAGTCCAAACATAGCACATTTCTTATGAGTGCATTAGAATTTACGTTGGATCATCTGGGTAATTTTCGAGAAATTAATTTTAAATAATTAAGTGAGATCCTTCCTTGAACACTTATAGCCCCGCTTACAAAACCGTTTGTTTCAGTAGTATTTCGGTGCCCGCGGAAGAGGGCTGTCTAAGCAATACACAGTTGTGCAAAAAATGTGGCATTTACCGAAATCGGCACAAAGATATGAATATGCAGGTCGCACAGTAAGAACAGATCGAGCTTTGGAGAAACAAGTTCTTCCGTAGAGATGACATCAAGTCTCCCACCGAAATCAGCCTTGAAGTTTTAAAGCAGGGCTTTTTTGCTTCACAGTTGTTTGTTTAGAAATGTTTGGCTTTAGCTCCAGGTGCATTAGTTCACAAACAGGTATTACTGGTGTCGATTAGTGAACGCCTGGTTGAGATCAAAACAAATATAACCGACTTGCACAATGCACTGCCACTAAAACTGCAGCCTTTTCTTGTTCCTTATTCTCACCTACAGCAGATTTCTTTCATCAGCCGTATTTCTCGTCAGTTTGTTCTCATATACGATCCACCGTAAAAAGTAGTTGTGGGAAACTAACTTATGGTTGCATCTTATTTTGGTCCCGTTAGAAGTACACAGCAAACAATGGCAACATATGAATTTGCTACGGGCAACCTCTGTGTTGAACTACAGGTTGTGATATGAACGTTAGTTTGCGTAGAGAGAGTTTGGTGAGCGTCTCTTGTTGCTGAAGGAGAGGATCCAGGAAACAAAACTTTGTGCCCCGAAACGAACCAGAAATCTAAGTACTAAACACAACACTCGTTTACCCCTGACGTTACGGCATTATCGTAAACAACCACGAGCTTACTGATGGCAATCTATATGAATCAGTATTGATTACAAATTAATAGGGAGTGTTTACCAATGACAATATGCCACTTATATGACATACTGTCAGGCAAAGATTTCAGTATATGTATATCTCGACGAGGCTGTCACTAGACTCCATTTCTGAAACTGTCGTCAATGAGTCAGTTACTTTTTGCGGAGTGTTATAAGTTTCCCCTTATTTTCCGTAGAATACAACCAGCTTCCTCGTGGTTTCCTTGCTTCGGTTATTTGTATTCGCACACCAGTCGCTGTGAAAATGTGAAATGCGATTTTCCCACGAATAGTGATTCTTACTACGTAAAATCGTCCACTGTTACTTGGTCCCAAAACGTGTGACCGAATGCCCCAGTAATGCAAGCCCGGCGTGCATTGACTTAAGCGTGCATCATTCGTGCATCAAACTGGAAGCAGGATCGGAAAATTTCGTACTGAACTCTTTTGTGCACTCTTTTGTTGGCAATTTCTCTTGAGCAATTTCCGGGTTTCTTGGAGATATATCCAAGTGCACTTTGATTCAGAATGAAGCTGACGCCAAATATTTTGCTTACAGCACTGTGCAGAAGACTGCCTGAAATGATAGTTTAATTTTATCTATTGTTTTACGGAAGGATATGTGTGATGTTTCATTTTTTATTTAAGGTTAGGCAAGATATTACCCCCAAACTTACTTTGCGCAAGGGCAATCTTCTTTCGTAGCATATAAACACACGCTTATTGGTGCATTTAATCGAAATATGTATTTGTGGGAAGGGAGTATGTCATAAAATTTTACCTAGGTACCCGTTGGTAAAGTGGTGTAAATTTACCAAAAACGTCTCCGCAAAAAATTTCAGAGTTTAGTCATCTGGCTCTTTCCGCGTCCTACAAATCAAGTTTGATTTAGAAAGTTCCATTCCAACACCCAGAAACCGAGTCTTCAGCGATAATGATGTTTCAAATTGCGATATTTTCTCAACATACATGCTGAGAATATATTGTACACAAGGGTCTTCTGGTTTGCTAATGAGGTTATTTTGGTGGTTATCTATGAAACAAGGTTATAATGTAAACTTTACGAGTTGGGCATCCAATTACATTCGTTGAAGATTTTGGGTCTTCATTTGTCGTCATACCCAAAACGCTGAAATTATATCGCATAACGGTATAAAAAAACCGCATTTGAAGGCTGCCAGTTAGACATCCTGATGCTTACATTCCAACAAACATTTGAAGATGGATTATATCTTTTCATGGGGAGTAAGTGAGCGAACTTGCATTTTTTTATCTTGGCTTTGTCACTCTAAACTAATCTTATTTAAAAATATGATAAAATTTTTCTAAAAAACAAACACGGCTCGAGAAACTCTAGACGTGTGAATTCACGGTTTGTTTTGCTGTGGCCTGAATCCGATATCAGCAGCAGTTTGACGATATTTCAAACGAAAAGTGAAAAAGAGCAAATGAAGAGTGCCGACAAGCATTCCTTTGAAATTTTCAGATAAACGTATTATGCCCAGGTTGTATATGTTTCCGCCTTAATGAATATTGTTATTCCAGGTTTTGTTTCGCATCATTTTTGTCTCCTTCTCATTCGGTAATTCTGGCGTTCGCAAGTCCAAAGCAACTAATTAAAACTCATGTTTCACCTCGTGGGAGCTTTTGCTGCCATTCGCACCCTAGTTAGTCTACTGAGTGGAGTGCGCAATTACCAAAACAAAATAAGTGGTTAACTTGCTTGTCTGAATTAAACGATATTCATTAAACACATAAGTTCAACAAACCTTGACACTCGTGATCGGTAGCCGGTCAACTCCATGTCGCCTATATGAAGTCGCCAATATTATATACTTCTTGGTGGTACGTTTATACTAAGAAAAAATGGTGTGGGTGCGTGCCTTCTCATGGAATACTTCAGGAATTGGTGGGAATAATCAACACTGCGCTCTAAGACCCTTTATTTGCAGCAAAGATAAAGCGTTAAAAATGAGCTTTTATCATTGAGATATGCAGAATCTTTATTTAGGTTCTTCAACAAAATGTCTATTTAAAAATTCATCACTTCGGAGTGTAGTGAGTTTTACTAGGAATCAAAACGTTTAAAACTGTCCCATTTGTGAACTTCTTGGACCAATCTAAGCTCAGTCAGACGAGTAAACGTCAAATGTGACAGAATAGTGAATCCGATTCATATTTACCCGGACAGTGTTTTTCAAAATTACTTGCTGGATTGCTAGAGTGCTGGCGAAAGAAAACCTTCTTTACTGGTGCAACTAATGTCTGAAATATATGTTGCGTTCAACAGAAAATAATCAACACACGAGGAGCAATAATGGGGTCTCCACTTTTATGATTCACCATAGAAATGCGAAAGCTCGAAATACTTGTGCTGTCGTATACCAGGTCCAGAATTTTCACCCACTACGGTAATGATAGCTACTTAACACCAAAGAAGCCAATTACTGAACACCGTTTCTGTTGACATTCAATTCGCAATGAAAGGAGAGCACGCTGAAAAACTGGCATACCTGAACACATTTACTACCAGAATGTCAGGTGGCAAATAAAAAATCGATATCCACAGAAAGGCGACAATAGCAGACCAAATTTAATAGTGCTTGAAACTACACTCTGACAATTTTAAAACGGATCCACATACATTGAAATTAAATTTAAGATAAAAGATATTAAAGCTTCCGCAATGGTATCCAAAGAAGTAAACATTGAAGAAGGTTTAGTTGGCGGTTTCTTAGAAAGCTCAATACGACCAGCAAAGTGACGTAGAGCGAGGACAAACAAACCGTAATTTCATACACTAAGAACATCGCTAAAATTATTGCAAGATGTCTGAGAGAAAATGATGCAAAGTTAGCCTGCAAACCAATGGACATTTTGCAGAGGACATTGTGAAAAATGGATCTGTTGATGAGGATTATTGCCACGTAATATTTTACAATCAGGAATGCAAGAAACACTAAAGAGTACAAACAGAAAAATACCTCTCACTGGGCGAGAGAAACCCAATCTTGCTGCTAGAGAACACGATCATATTTGTTGCATTTTTTGCACATGAATATAAAAAGGGGTATGATTTGACTAAAACAACAACTTTCGCCTAATTGCGGGAAAAGTACGAAGAAAGAATGTGAGCAACCGAAAGACGCCACCCACAAGTTATTGACCAATAAGAGCAAGAAAATGCCAAAACCACGAATATCATTTTTTCACAGGAAAATGGACAAGAAAAACATAGACGATATGACGGACAAATGTATTAATATGGAATATGCACTCAACGAATAACTGAAAGGTGCAAGTCTTATGCAAGGAACTCGGCAGTTATGAGGGAGGAGACAAGATAAAACGGGTATTCCGTTGAAGGCAGTAAAATTATCAAAATAAGAGCGGCTCAATTGAAACAAAGCATTAAAATTTCTAGAACTATCAGATTCCGGGCACCCAGTCTTATCATGAAGACCGACCAAAGCGCAGAAGAAAAAGCAAAAAAGAATTGCGTTTGGCTTGCTCAAAAGCTGTATTTTAATTAATTATCAACCTCCAGAAATAAAGATGACTTTTTTATATCTGTGTAGACGTACGCGAGAATGGAGTATATGCTCACCGAAGCAAGCACTACTGCTGTCTTCCTGATTTTTAACGAAACCCTTGTGATCTGGTCACCTTTGTAGTTTCCAATAAATTAACTGCACTCTCGACATGTTACTATAAACAATAGTGAAATATGCTAAAATCACTGGTGTAAAATGCATTTATCCCGTAGACCAGTTAGCTTGCCACCTAGGCACATTCACTCACCGCCCTGTGACAACACTTAAATAGGGAATTCAAAAAAAATTAAAGCAGGATTTTACTAGATGTAAGTGAACCTGTTGTTTGGCTGCCAGCAAAATCTGAAATAATTCTAAACCATTGTTTTATCTCAGCATAAAGAACGTCGTAAAGCTACTGGGTTCTTGCGAATACTCAGTGTTCGTTACGAATATTCCGAACAATCTACAATTATCTTCCGTTGCTGAATCAGGGGTCTCCAGCCTGTCAGATTTGGATTGTCTCAGTTACTTGGGTGAAAATTATAGCGTCATGGAGGCTAATCGTAGAACATGCCGTATTGGTACCGTTGATGATGCACTTTTTGTATCGTTCGATCGCTGTTTCTTTTGAAGATTCCGAAGTTAGGTCTCATGCATCCGTTAAACGACTAACTGACTAGCATTGCAATACGGCTTGGATCAATCCTTTGGAATTCTGAGCACTGCATCGCAAACTTTGTCTAGAAGGCACAAAAACTGTTTGCATGGCTTTGGGCAAGTTTCACAATCTTATGAATGGGAGTAAACGGGATGAACGCGTATTGATCGACAACAGATTTTTTTATCAAGCAATACTGTCTGTGATATAAAATTCCAAGTATTTGTATTTGTTTTAACGCATAACCATTCATCCAAATGTGATAGCATATATTCATCACAAAAAGTCTTGGGAGTATATGATTGGTTCATCCTTCGAGTAAACGGAATCTCAGTTTTTAGATACGATACAGTTTTTCTCCAGAAAGACTTCATGTTACCAGTTTTGTCTGCCTGTCAGAACAAACTTACTAGTCAAGATCTTTATCAGACTCAAATCTGGCAACCAATTAGGTATTCGCCGAATATGCCAACAAAGTGAGTCATTCTGGGGCTTCTTGTAATCCATTACATTCCAAGTATTTGTATTTGTTTTAACGCATAACCATTCATCCAAATGTGATAGCATATATTCATCACAAAAAGTCTTGGGAGTATATGATTGGTTCATCCTTCGAGTAAACGGAATCTCAGTTTTTAGATACGATACAGTTTTTCTCCAGAAAGACTTCATGTTACCAGTTTTGTTTGTCTGCCTGAACAAACTTACTAGTCAAGATCTTTATCAGACTCAAATCTGGCAACCAATTAGGTATTCGCCGAATATGCCAACAAAGTGAGTCATTCTGGGGCTTCTTGTAATCCATTACATCACTAAAAAACAAGAATACTAACAGCAAGTTGAGCGGAATGATGCAAGAGGACAAGGATAAAAGAAAACCTACCCCTTTGTTCTATGGCATTTGGGATACCACGCCAGATGTACTGGGTAAACACTCAACCAATAAAAAGGTTTGGATGGATTTGGTCGAATCTAGAGCAATTAATTATCCCTGAGGCTAGACAAAATCAAGTAATCAATCGAGCTGTAGCAGTTTTTAACAACACACTGTATTTTTCTGCGAGAGGTAATGTAAAGTGCTATGATTTATTCATTCTTTCTGTGAAAATACAGGGCAACTGTGCTAGAATCCAAAATGCTGTTCTAGTTAAGAAATGCTTGCACGAATCAGTGTATGAGAATCCCGAAAGAGGTAACATTTTTTACCATTCAACATAATGGCTTAATCTATGAAGCAATTTAAGTCCTTCAGTAAATACAGGAGATTTCGGTCAGCTCAGAGCGATTAGTTCCGCCGCATCCAGAAGGATAGCGTTTTAACCCAATTATCCTGCAATGACTACAAGTTTGACTGGCAACTTATCGTCTGAGGATGCGGCGCAAGTTCTGGAAATACAAGTCAGGATTTGGTTATTAAGCTTTTTGATGATAAAATAACCCGATTATTCGCTACGAGCAGTGTTTTTAAAATGAGTGTGTTAGCGATTGACGACTTGTGACTCAGTAATTCGCCGCTTATTTGGACTTCTGATGGCGCATGAATAATCGATCCATCTGCCACAAACACTATGGATTTCGGGAACATCAGCTTCCTTCTTCCCAATCAAATTCTGTAGATAGTTGAAATATCTCACTGCTATCCCACAGTACTCGATCTGCATTGAAAGGTATTTCTAAGAGAAAAAGGGAAAGATACACACCTATGGAAAAATAAGTGGTTTTCATTTGATGTTAGCTTCCCATGTTCATTGGTGAACCTTGACACTGCCAAGAAAAAAACATCGCGAAATCATTGGATAGCGGCGGCTTAGCCGTCGAATCGCCAGAGTGGGAAGAGCTTTGCAAATCACCCATCTGATGCCCTACTATATACATCTAATTCAATGGAAAAAATTACAAGCAACTACCAGCAGCACCACTTTGGCATCAATTTCGGGATTTGTCGCAGAAGAGCAATGCTAAAGCTGGAAAGAATAGCACCGCCCCAGTTATACCCAAAATATGGATTCGCTTTGTGGATGACACTGATGTTATCATCAAAAACATTAAAATGTTGTGGATAATGCACCTGTTGGACGATTTGTAAATAACGCAAAACTTACAGTATTCAAAAAAAAAACAAATGAGAAGCCGGCTTCTCTAAACATCTTCGTCACAAAGTCACCAAGTGGATGAAGCAAAACTTAAGTATTCAAAAAAAAAACAAATGAGAAGCCGGCTTCTCTAAACATCTTCGTCACAAAGTCACCAAGTGGATGAATACAAAGTGGCGTATGCAGAAAAAAAGCTATTTGACGAGTTTGGGACAAGTTTTGAGCTATCATGGTACCCAACCAAGCAATTATAAACTAAGCTGCATTCTGATGCTCCTTAGGCTGGCTGCGACACTGCAACACTATAGAGTTTAAAGTTACAGGAGAGAAGTGGTTATAAAAGTGGTTTCAAAGAAATAACTACCCGAGAAAATTTATTTAGAGATCACTCGAACAACCCTCCAAAACATGAGGCATACCAATCATATTCCTACACATCAGGAAAATCACTAAAATGACTACAAGGTTCTCAAGACAAAATTGAACATGGAAACAAGAATAAAAAACAGATTCAGTGGCAAACAACATCACTTACAACATTCAATGCACGGATTGTTACAAACACCAGGTTGATGCTCTTCTTCAAACTTCATGACCACAGGCTTGCCGTGATCAATTTCTAAATGTCTGCATGCAGAAAGATCGAGAAAGACGCGAGTTTAGCCAAAATAATATTTTCTTCCTGGCGCAGGCAAGAACAAAATCCATGTAATTTATAGAGCGTGGTACTTTAGCAAAGACTTTTTTGGCAAACGCTGAAACTGATCTGGTCCACTAGCCACTGAGGACAAGAGAAATTCAGGCCTACAAAGTTGAAAACTTTACAAGAAATCGGAATACAATAAGTGCTGAATAAACGGTATGGCTCCACTCAGTGGTGAAGTTAATTAAACTGGGATATTTCTGGGATGGATAATTAAAAGAATCCAAGGAACACAGAAATGAATTGAGTAAGACAATCGAAAGCACACGTGAGTCACTAGAAAAAAATCGAGAAGCGCAATCACAAACCGAGTCCAAGGATATCAAACCGCAAACGCAACACAAATTCGCAAAGTGCGATAGACCTGCTAAAAATAGGAGGCATTAGGTTGATCAGTCGAATAGACGAAAGCTAAACCACGATGTATGACTTTCTGTGAATGAATCAGTTAGAACTGCGAGACAATTATCAGAAATAAACTGTCTATCGGACCAGTGAAATATGCAAAAAAGCAAATCCTAAACAAGCAAATGAAATCACGCAAAAGCAGCTCCACAACCAATCAGCCGTATCAGAAAGTATCAGTTTCTATTTCAAACAACCATGGAGAAGGCACTCAACCAACCACAAACTGATGAGCTCTCAAAGATTGGTGGCCAAACATGTGTTAGCAATCTGCCAGACTTGCAAACAGATCAACAACCGCCGACTTAAAAGCCATGTAGTAATGCATTTACGAAAGCAGACTAACAAATAAGCGATACCCAAAAGTATTTAGGGTGTTTGAATGAATACAAAGTAGACTAAATTATTCATGAAAAGAGGTTTAAGTAAGATGTCCTATTTGCTTTTCTATCAAGCGAATAACCGACATTTTGATGCTGAAAGTAAGTTTCCATTTAGATCACGTATTATTTGATGGCCATTAGGAGCCTATTTTAGGCGCTGGTGTGGTTGGCATCATTTATTGGGCTATTTGCATCTAGAGAAGGGGAGCGTTTACGGAAAGACAATAATTTAACTTTGATATACCTAACTTATCCAAAAGGTTTTGAATTATTAATGAAGATCCAAAATTTCACCGACACTAAAAGATCAACCCACAAGATGAATAATACAATAGTGAGACTAAATTTTTTTCATTCCTTCAAAAGTCAAGATTCGTAAACCCGTCAGGCCGTATGAATATATCCTCTAACTGAAACACATGCTAAAGTGTATCTTTAGAAGACAGCTATAATATAGCCATGCAAATCTTTGTCAATTTGCTACAAATAAATTTAAAAATCATGATTGGATGTCAATAATTCAAGTTGTGGCTAAAACGCTCAATGGCAAAAACCGTCCAAAGCGCCACAAACCAAGCACATGTACCATAACCACTGCGAAAGCCACGAGCATAGTCGCAGTTTCACTATATGTATGTGGGGGTGCAAAACGTCGATGGAATCTCAACTATTATTTTATTACGTTTTAAAAACTAATTGACACTAAAAAGGGACGGGCTTTGTCGTTTTGTTTTGGACTGATTGTTTTTCTCAAACCTCAGATTATCCTATCACACGTCAAATGTGATTAGTACCCGGTATCACTTAAACCTGCTTTCCGAAAGTCACCAAAAATACTTTAACGTGTCATAATACCCAAATAAGCTACTCCACTGCGTCATGTTTGTCACATTATTTTCCTTATATCAGAAAGAAAACCCACTAAATGTCACTGGATCTCTTAGTCTGTTTTAGCTAAGTTCATTTCGGTATATGTTTGGCGAGTTATCAGCCTTTTTATAATTGTTCAGCCAACTCTTTCATGAGATTCATATAATAATTTCTACTCAAAGATTACTCTTAACATGTTCTGGAAATCTGGAAAAAGATACATAGATTAATTACCGAAAATATGTTACTCGTTTCAGTACCACTGAGAAAACTGTGTAAGTGATTATATGTTGTAGTATACACTATCTTGCAGATTAAAAATTACTGTATTTCCCCAGTTCAATTTTTACCACAGATCAAATAAACTAAATGACCAAACTTTATTTGAAGGTTATTTAGGAGACTGAAGTATTTTACCTCTGTGTAGACAGTTGAACTTGAAGAGTATCTCCGAAATACAGTGCATGAGCATCCACCAATTGGATAGCTTCACTTACACAGCGTAATCACCATTACACATTCACACTAAAATAAGTATTTCATACATAGAATAAAATTCACCCGATGGGTGAAGCCCATCTTGAAGTTATCAGCCGGGGAGGCATACAGTAAAGTGACCACTTAAGACAGATCCAATGATTAAGGAATGTTCCCCGAGTGCAAGTTAATCACACTGCTGATCAGCCGCTTGTGGCAGAATAGTTAGGCGTTCAAAATACGGACCGAATTGTCTCGAGTCCGGGATCCCCACTGTGGAGGTAACTGCTGTACTAGTGCTAATGGATTTTTCACCATATGTTGGCTTTACTTATGAAACAAAATTTCTATCAGAAAAACAGCCTGCATGAATGAAAAGTGAATAGCTCCTCCCGTATACTCTGCTGGTATAAGCGTCCCATAATCAAGCCTTATGCGCCGTCAACCTTTCTTGAGATTATAAACTTTGTCAGCTACAGAGCATAAATATTTACAGCCTTTGTGATGTGTACATCACACACCAATCTGTCCAAATACCCTAAGCTTAAAGAGCAAAATAAAGCGGATAGTTTTCAAGCAAGCTAACTTTAACACTAAAAGCATCACTGCTACCGGGAAATTTTTTCAATGAAGTATTACTGTCTGAGTAGTAACTGGTGAAATTTACCATGTCCATGCGGTACTAAATGCGCCATCCGCAATTTTTACACACTTCAAATTTAAACAACACTTTCATAAGACACACACAGATAGAAGCATCTCACTGTCTAACCGTGTGGCGAATGTCATAAGCAAAAAACTGTTAGACACCGTTTGACCTCGACCAATCAGACACCAAGCTATAGGCACAAATCATATGAATGCGTTATTGTCAGGCTACCTTTGGCTCAAGGCTTTGAAGCAATATCAGTAGTTGTTTACAGTTCCGAAAGTAACTTTTAGCAAGTGCTTGTTTTACAGAACTATTCGCTTTCAGTTGGTGGAACATCATTTTCTGTTGTCAGTAGGGATATTGCTTATAGCGGGCTCTTCCTGACGGCGAGGCTGTTTGTGAGCTCATCGGCAAATTACTGAGTTCAATTTTCTCACCCAAAAAATGGCCGTGATATTTTAACTCAAATTCTCTACGGCCTTTACATTTTTCAGTCAGCTTGAAAGCCTGTAAGGACATAAACCCATTTTTAAGCTCGCTGTACGGTTGTGGACAGATTTATTTGAGGCTGTTGATTCGATTTAATCCACTCGTAGTTCTTTCACAAACTTGTTATTCTGCACATTACAGTGCAACAAAGTCTAATTTTTACTTATAATCGAATGCGTTTTTGTTCGATGGCATAACGCACCAAGGTCGAAGCTCTTAGTCGGTTTTTAGATTCAGCGACAAGACTTATTATGTAGAAGCCTTGTCCGTGAACGGTTATTATTATTATCAGGCCCGAAGTAATTTTGCATAAGCTGCGCAGCGTAAATTGATACAATTTAGGGGCATTATTTTAAAAATATCAGATTGTTTCGGGCGGAGATGTGGAGTGTGGAAGCTTTCAAAGAATAATAATACCACCTATGAACACATGAATTCTGCTGATTTTCTAGTGTTTATGCAATACGTGTTAGTTTTAGATGTAGCTAACAGAATATCGTGAGTAAATAGAAGACACAAAAGATATAACATGTGTCTACATTTGTCAGTCATGGCATGTGAGGCAATGGTCTTTCAGGTCGTAAGAATGCAGAAAAATGCACATATTACTCTGTTTTCTTTAGGTAAAATGCGTGGACTTGCATATAATGACAACTGTAGTCACCGCTGGATCTTTCTCTTGAGCAATCACAAATATCATTCCCCTAGAAACATCTGTCAGCATTTTGTTGCGTTTAACGACTTGAAGAAGTCCGTTTGGCGGTTATATACACGTAATATTATCACACAACTAAAAGGCTAATCATTTGGATGAGGAATCTCGCATGAAATGTGGTTACAAGATTCATCCAATTCAAGAGCTGTGGTTTGATTACTCTTGCATAGACTTAACAGATAGTATTGGTGAGTTATACATTCATATTTGTATGCATCAGTTCTCTTTGTATATGTCATTAATTACGAGGTACAGCCTGGTACTTACTGCTCGTGGACTTTAGCATGACCTATCAATGTGCGGATACGTCAAGTGTGATCACAGTAAACTTACAAAGGCAGTTCCATCGACCACCACCTAGAAAATGCACATTAACAACCTTGGAATTCAATAGTTTTTAACAAAAAGTTTTGCCTGAGTTCAGCAAACTTGACTGGAAGAGGTGCTGTTCTTGCATGATAATTTCTAGAGTGCTTTATTATATATATGTATTCATTGTCGAAAGTTGAGTTCTTAGAATGCAGAGTTTTAGCTACGTAAAATAGATCAGATAATTGTTTCCAGCCAGTCAGGTTTGTTTTTATTTTGAAAGGATGTCAATATTAGGAATAAAATTCTGAATCAGATAATTACTTAGTTAAAGGTATCTAAATAAACTGTGGCCTTGGAAATAACAGCCTGCACTTTCTATCCAAAAATTCGCATGGGCAGTCCTATCTAAGCATCTATTAACCTTATTAAGCAAGATGTTTGGGTTGTCTTTTGTAGTTTGCCTTCAAATTAAGAAAAAATTCGATCAACACATTACCTGTAGAATGTTTCAACATTTGCATTCCATAAATTCCACCCCGTGCGTTAAACAAAAAAATGTTCATGAATTTAAAGTTCTTAACTTACGAGCTTGATTAAAACCATTATAGAGTGCACAGACTGTTTTGCGTTTTTAAGCTTATCTGGTTGGTTCACTTCCCGAAATTTCCTCCAAACAATTCGTATTTGTGCACCAAGTGAAAAACAAAAAGTGGCAAGCTCTCAATCTCCAAATGATAGTTTTAACAACGGACAAATTAGCTCTTTAAGATATTCAGGGTTGGCGGCCTTTTGAAGCGTCCATTCAGCTAAAGACTGTAAGCAGTGCTCTGAAATATTTGGCTTCTGAGATTTTGCCAAATGAGTTCTGATAAACCTAAACCGCAGATAATTGTAACCTCAAGATGCCGTCGGAGACCAATGGACAAAAAACCAATATTCAGGTAGTCCTCTAGATTTCTTGTAGGATAAACGTAACTTGTCCGGCACCATATTGCTCAGGCTTGACATGATGTTTATTTTTCCTACAACGACAGCAACTATGGAGCTGTACTATGGTAAGCAAAACCTCAGTCTTCTAAGTCAACAGTGAAGGACTTAAATCCACAAGAAATCATACACAACGCACAAAGTATATTCTCCTGGTTGCTTTTTATTCTCAATCACATCAATATTGGAAAAATAAGTCTGCCCATCCCGGCCCGCCGAAACAAAAAGGCAGTTTTCTTGATCTTTGGTGAAGCATAGTACCTGTTTACTTGTAACCCGTTGATGTGCGCGCAAACAAATTGCTGCAAAAACCAAGTGTTTTTAGAATGAAAATGCCATATAATTCTTGTGAGCATAAGTCCAATTGGTTACTTTCCAGATTTTGTCGGAGAAAATGTAGCCAAAACATGCTGGGTACCACGCAAACGCACCGTGAAATATGTGAAAAAAGCTTGCAATACAGCTCCTTCTACTTCGTACTTCCAAATTGCCAAGCTGACTTTGTTTTTTCTTTAAATTTAAGTCGAAAAATGAAAGTCAGGAATGATCTTTCTGCTCAATACCGACATTTGCTTGGGTTATGTCAGTGCTGAGCACTATCCCCCGTGCCTGTATGCCGTTCTTCCGGCTTGTGCCTTGATTCTGTCTCAGCAAGATGGAAGACAACCAGTTCTAGAGGCTGACGGAATAGCATCACGAACTGAGAGTAGAAGTTCAGAAGGCACATTGCAGATATTCTGCCAGATTTCCCTCAATATTTCATCCCAATAACCGTGGAATTGTGACAGGGTCACATCCGTTATCCTGAACTTATGGGTGAGGGAATCAGGAATTCGATTCGACTCGTGGTTTTCATCCAGTAATGTTCACCATGCTGAACTTTATTCGATATACGGCGGAAAGCTGCATTTTTGGCGTGCGCAAAAAGGTCCTGTTCAATGTTAGCGCTAACGTTGAACTACAGATGTTGACCTGCTGCTCGCGGCATGAGTTACGAACCACTAAAGTTTGACCGTTTAGAACACTACGCTACTAAGGACCTTTGTACGGTGATCCAGTGAAACAAACGAGAGCATATCAGCCTTATTCCCGATTTGAATAAATAAGCAGAGAAAACTTTCCAGATCAATAAACGAGGTCTGTGTTTGTGGGCTCAGTTATTTGGCCTCAAACCTCTACCATCTAGGTAAGCATATTTATCCGTCTTTAAACTCCTGCGCACTCATCAATCATTCACCATACGGTCGTAGCCATTCATGACGATCCGGAAAAAGTAAAACCAAGCACTAATCTTTGCAGGTGGCTGATTTTGAACGATACCTTCCGATGTTCCTGACAAAGTATTTTTGCCGAAATCAAAATTTTTGTCAAGTGCAACAGGTTACCCTTATTCAACTAGGCGATTATGTTCATAAAATGACATCTCTTTGTGAGCGTTTTTAAATATGGATGTCATGCAACACATACCCTTGGCATAAAATTGACAACATATTAGTTATTTAGATGGAATCTGCTTCAGGTGAAGTACTACAGTTTTTGTTGTACACTAGGATTGTTTTCTTTTGGTTAGCGCTGTAGATTAGACTCAACACTGAGGTAACATAAAGTGGCCGGTAGGTAATGGTTGAGTGACAGTAACTAAACGTTTGGCTACAGTCGAGGCAACTATTCTGCCTTGCCCAGAGCATTGACCAATGCGCACAAAGCGTCTAACATCCTGGATGGATTGCGCGTTATTCCTAGGGTTCATGCTCAGCCAGTTGTAATATACATAAAATATTCTATACACTTTACCAAACTACTCGCGAATATAGCACAACAGAACCCCGGTAAGTCAATTTTTATGGGGTAACCCACAAATTCTGAATAAATGAATGAGTTGCGAATTTAGGATGAACTCGTTGTCTTAGAATTAACAATTTCAACAGTTCGTAATAGTTTTCTGTCATTTAGTCTTTGTAGTCAGCACGCTGTGGCCATGTACAGTTTAAGCTCGGGCGAGCTGGACGAAAACCCTTTTTTGAGGAACCTATGTTGCCGGCATATACCTAATGTGGCACGGGGGTTGATTTACACATTGACAGCTTTCCCACACAAATTGAGCACTGTTACTTCACTAGAATTCCCTCAGTCTGCCTGGAGGATAAAGGAAGAATTAGAAACGTACTGTGAAGAGCCAGTTTTACCCACTGTCACTCGAAGATGTTTCAAATGTGTTAGCTAGTGTTAGCTAAGGTTGCGGCCATCCCATGCACATATCTCAGCTACTGGCGTAGTATTTCTCTAAGGGTTCTCAGCTAGAACTTACTTTTTAAATTGGTTATATCCCACAATTGAAGTCATTCTGTGTCAAAAAGCTTAGCACTACATTTAGGCCATTTCATCTTTGTTGGAATCACCCTATGGATATAATTTTACCAGCATTATCTACCAAAGGACATGATTGCTGTCAGTTACTAGCCAGTGGAACAGCAAGCGAGGCTGAGTGGTTTCCTGGGCCGCTGGCTATTCGCACAATGAGATTGAGTTCTCGAAATCTACGGCATTTTCAGACTTGCCACTTCACATTGTAGAATGTCTATGTATAATGTATATGCTCCCGTATTATTGAAAATCCTTTACTCTGGCGATTTGTTTAAGTGAACTAAGTGAACTAATCTCTTTCAGAGTTCATCCGCCACAAACTGCCGCACATCAGATGACGGCGTTCCATATCTCAGCAGGGCCTGGCATGTGTTCAACTCGTTTTCGGTTAGGCGTCGTTTGACTGGAAGCCGATCGTTCAGAAACTTTGACAGTTTGTGATTGTGTTCCAGAAAATAAGAGGTCACTGCCAGTTGGTTCCTTGGCCTCCGAATGCAAAACCGCACTGGAGAGCTGGTGCTTCGCGTACCTTTTTTATTAGAAAAAAAGCTCGGCTTATTAGCTGCGTCGGATTCCACGGCTTTCCGCTGGTCTTGGAGGGCGCCTGCTGCATTTGTAGTACACCCATTCGTAACGCAAAATAGTGTTGGTGCTTCGATTACTGGATGAAAGCACAAATATCATAAAGTTATCCTTCATGTATTAATTTGAGGTCTTCTCAAATGCCGTGAAGGATGAAAACGATACACCCACAAATTTCCCAACGAAGGCCACTTCCGAAGCCATAGCAGACGAAGTTCAAAGCCGAATGTTCGCTAATAAATTTTCAAAAGAGATCGATTAAAACAAATCGTAAAAAATGACGGCAGATGAGGGTGGTTTTCAGTCCACGCATGTATACAAAGAAGTGCAACATTTTGATGTTAAATTTTTTATTTCGCCCGCAGGGCTTTTACACAAAAATGCATTGCGTGTCTAGCCGCTGGCGTTTCCGGGCTTTCTACACTTAACTTTTCAACCACCCGCTAGTAGGTCATTCGGAGTTTTTTCCACACGAACACAGTTTGCCAGTTATCGCGCAGTTGACGAATTTCGGTTATATGTGGTAGGTAGATCTGATGAACCTGCAATCAATGATATCAATCCTTAGACTGCAAAATGTCTACGACAGTAAAACATACATTCTTCTGAGTGGCGATTAAAGCTGGTTATCTAGCGCTTATAAAGTCTAAAGAAAGTGTTGGGAGACGTTTATGCACCAAACAAACCAACCAATCAGGCATAAATCAACCAAATTTCTCAAAGAAATGCGCAACAGCATGATTCGGAAAATTTTACAGAAACACGTCAATATAGGTTGTTACATAACTTTTTAAAACTGAGTTCCATAGAATGTAATTTTGCCACAACCTGAAGACTCACCTCGTCGATTCGCAACCCGCATCTCACTTTAGTCCCGATGCACATTGAAAGGAGTGAGTATTGGGGAATTGTTTTTCCAGAACAAATTGTACTTACACACAAATCCAAAACTATTCTATCGATTTATGAACGACCAGAGAATCTTACATCAAACTGCTGACATTGGACTGTTCTGGAGCTCTTTATATGATAGACTGTATTCACTTTGAGGATTTCCACGCAACGGCCGGAAAGTTTATCTCAACTAAATATGCTTGCACTGGATTCAGAAGAGCAAAGAATGGCATATGATGGCATATACTTGCAGTGCGATATAATTTTACCTTTTTCGCCGTACGTGGAACGGAACACAGTATTATTTAAACGTAGGACGATGCAATCTTGATCTTTTATTTCGTCTCACAACAAAGTGTATAGACACTGCGTTATTTGTGGTAGGCAAAATGCAGGAGGTAGAGACATCTGTAACATGCTGTTACAAAATTCAAAAATGCCACCCAAATAAGCCTTTGTCAGGTATTACTTGTTGAGCTTATATCTATAGGCAATTCACTATGCTACAATTCACAGTACTCGGCGAAACAGCAATTGTTCAGGTTTTATTCGGATATCTGATCTGCTGAAAAATGCTTACCGCATCTTTAAGCAGATATTCGTGCGCATCGCAAAGCTACATAACCAGGCAAACTGAGAAAACTAGGTGGCTTCCAGTGAGACCTGAAGTATTCCAAGAATTCCCAACGAATTTGCTCGGAAATATATATTTTCGTAATCGTTTTGACAGCCAATGGTAGGTAGCAAACTAGCACAGCTTTAGACGCACTACCAAAGTTTAACTCCAAACAGCGTACTCATGACATCAAATCCAATGATGATGAAAACGCTTAACGTTAGAAACAACGACCAGTAACTAAACAAGATAGATAATAAATTAAGAGTTGAGCAAATTTTTAACTTACCTTCGATGAAAGACAGAATTTGCTTTAACAAAAAAATTAAACCGGCAAAGCTGAATTAGGAATCTTGATGATCAACCTGGCGCTGTGAGCCACCCATAAGATCTAAATATAAGTTAATCGTGCATGGAGCTAATCTACAACAGCATTCCAGTCTCTAACGGAAACCTATCACATTCTTCATAACCTTGTAAACACAAATGCCTGAGCCATTTTCCGCATTTCGGCTGTTCCGTTGAATGTAATGATGGCAAACTTCCTCACCAGGACAACAACAAAAATACTGAAGCACATGGGTTCCGTTATTGACAGGTGTTCAAAATTTTACACGCAATGAGTTGCTCGACAAGCATTAAAAATCCCAGCTAAGGAATGACTTACAGTATGCCTCAGAATCAAAATTCATGTACATTTGTAATTAGAATAAAACTACTAGGCTCATTTTTAAATATTTAAATGTTTTGTTGTCAGTGTTGCGTTCAGCGGTCCGGATGGAAACTGTGCCAAGTAAGTTGTATTGCTTTGGAGTGTATCATTACAACCCATTTAACCCGTCTAAATAAATACAAATGTGGTTTGTCAAAGTCTGTAGCAAATGATCAATTACAAATTCCGTGTACCTGCAATTCCAGGGTATATGCGGATAGGTAAGATAACAGGGAGTAAGCTAACCATATATGTTGCTAAACAAATTAAGATCATTGTATAAAGAACTCAACTGACATGAAACAAGACTGTAAAAACGCATCACGTCATCCAAGTTTCAGGTTGTCTTTTCATACTCTACTCATAATAACTATGACGTAGTCAAGGCAAGAAGCCATCGGGTTTTTTTACTATCTAGTACCTATAGATTAAATACTTTTTGCAGGTTTCTCACTCCTGTTTTGGGCTTTGAAATCAATTTTGGGAATACGCTTGAAGATTCATTTACGGCTTTTTTGTCTGGGAAATTGACATAGTTCAGGACGGCGTTTGTATACTTTAAGAGGCTTTTCACCAAAACTTTTATATCTAGGTTTCGACTTTCCTTTGGAAAGCATTTGCTGAAATTAGCTTTTACCAGAGGAATCCTTAAAAGGCGTGTTTAGTCAGACAAATAAGTATCAGGATATGATGTGTGCAAAACGATTACATCTGCTCAAGGACATAAATCCAAATTATATACTATGATGCACGACATTTCTTTCGCAACTTTTTGTTTGCCACATAAACAAAAAGGGCTTATGTGTATCAGTTCACGAGAAAACCAGTGTTGCCCGGATTTACTGAAGCTACTTGGCATGGTTCGTTAAAGCTACTTAAGGAGTCTACCGATTTCATTGGTAGACGTCAACCAATAAACTCACGGAAATAGATTAACGTGGAACTCGATTAAATGTCTCAAACTAAGGGCAGCCTTCGCGTTGGGACCATTGGTGCAGCATCCTGCCGATAAACAAAGGTGGTAGTTTCAATTCCTTTTTATTGGCCGCGGCATTTTGTTTTGATTATGTGGGCTTGCAGCTATATTGCCCAGATCAGATGAAGCTTCAGAGTGCGTGCAGCCCACGCAAATTCAAGTAAAAACGTGTTACGATCTCTTAATTTTCTGACTGCAATCACGACGGCAGCATCAAGATCAGTCATCATGTCAGCAATAGTTTCATGTGTTAAACCAAGTAACACGTAGCCCATGAAGTAATCGCAAAAAGCAGGACTTTAAAGAGCCTCCGGAGTTTTGTTGAGGTTAAAATTAAACCAATCTCACATTAGCCCAAACTTCCGGACCCACTGTGCTTTGAACCTTCAAAATTGGTTACTCTTGGACGCCATGCCATTTTCTGCTCGATGTATGCAGTACTTCAGCGGAATTGGCTCGAACAAGCGATAAGTGTACCATATGGACTAGAAAGTCACAGGAACTTTAGGTACCCACTTCTATAACTGTAACCCCAGTTACACAGCTTATAATGATCGATGCACTTCTGCGGATCACTAGTATAGACCCAAAATTTCGGTATATTTCAATTGTGTACCACTACAATACTTCTTTTATTAGTTTAGGCGTTACTCAGTGTTATTTTCTATTTTTGAGATCTTTCATTTCTACCCTTGTTGTTGGATGTTAAAGCCTAAATGGTAACCAACAAATTGCTGAACAAACTGGTGCTTAAATTGCTTTTCAAAATGACATAGGGATGCAAACGTTGGAGGGCTATAATGATTGTTGAAATCGGACCTACTGGTATTTTTTGAATTTGAATACTTAACGTCTCATGGTCAGCATGAGAAAAGTCCATCCTAGGTGGAAGCTCCTGAAAAAGACGCATAAACCTTGATCGAGTTTGAACGGGTTTTGTTTCATGAGCTTCTGGGCATCACAGCAAAGACCTGATGAGACGGTTACAGTCGGATGTTCTTCTGACTAGTATTACATGCACGACACCAACGCACTGCTTTTCCATACCTCTTTAGGCAGATACGGTTGGGTGATGGGCATATTGATGACAGAGTAAATCTTGTATTATCTATCTCAAAAGTCAATGACCTGCAAATCTCACCCTAATGTTCCACTGTGATTTTAGTCTAAATCCCACTCAGGACAGTGATCAAATGACA